AGTGTAGACACATTAAGAAATAAGGAGAATACACATGTTTAACAAAAGGCATGCACATTAATGCAATACCTGTTGGAACATGTTTTATCATGCAATTAAGTTCACAACAGAACACACTGTGTTCAGTAAAACTACTTCAGCGTCTCGCTGACCTTTCTGAGCCGCGGAGGGCTCCGGGCTCCCACTCGGATACCGGGACACAGAGCGGTCTCTGTCCCCGGAGCTGCTGCTCTGGTTCCGGGCTGCAGAGCGGAGACAGACCCCCCGCTGTGCTCGGAGGAAGCAGCTCAGCACGGGCAGGAAACACCGGGGAGCCTCGGTCCTCTGGAGGGTCAGACCGGACACCGTGCACGCGTTCCGGTGTGTGTCTCTTATTATACATCCATGGTGTGTCTGTACGAGAAAACTCACGTGTGTGTATTTGTGTGTCGCTGTCCGGTGTAGAGCTCTGAATATCTGCGTGTAAGCCATGATTACTGTGTCCTCTGTGAGAGAGTGTGTACTTTAGCACGGACAACTAGCTAAAGCTACGCACACACACACGCGCGCACACACACACACACCGAGCACAGGATCAAATAATATAAAGTTAATTATTATTGTTAGTCGTGTATGCACAACCTAACACACAAACTATTTGACATGCCGTGCTATCTGTGTCAAATTGTGTTTATGATTCCGAGGCGCATACTGTTGACGTCACGCACAGTTTCAAGGACTCATGGGAAACTGAGTTTTTACCAGTAAGATCTAATCAACATTTTGCACAATATACCCAACAAATATATATATTTGAACAAGTTTCTAGATATTTAAATATACCTCAACATATATGTTTACTATTATATATTCAGTTCAGCTATTTAATAATATCAAAATTGATCTAAAATGGTTATACATTTGTAATCATAAATGTAACAGTACATTTATCGTGAACCTCATTGTTAATATAAGGTCCAATTACATGAATAAATGCAACATAACAAAAAGTACTCCTAATAGAACTGGATTTCTATGTGAATTTAAAGAATATTTTAAGACTATTTAATGTGTAATCACTTAATAATTCCTTAAAAGTACATAGTGACCACTTTAAGTAAGAACAACATCTGTTTTTTAAGTTTTCTTCTTATATACATTAAATTAAACATCCTCATGTCCTCATTTTAAAATATCAGTTTCTTAAGTCAGCTGTTTGCATCGATTTGATGTAATGGCCATTCGGGGCAAGTGGTAATAGACATTATGATACTGACAAAATCAATCATCACCAAACGATCAGTAAACATCAGTTTATTGAAAACATTTGATCCAGCATTTTCTGTTATCAAATCAAATGTAAAGGGGTTAAAAAAACACCACAATGAAGTGAAGTGTGACCAAAGAGAAAGTAAATAACATTCATCAGAGAGAGAGAGGGGTAAATAAACAGTAGTGGACGGTCAGTAGAATCACGCTTTACGAGGTT